AATAACCTTAGTAACCTGCAACACACGTCTCAGACAGACCCTAATCCCAGAATTAATATTGGCAGTATCCAACCAGACAAAGTCATTAGACAAACGTTCAATTTTGATTGATTTTTGATTGCATAGCCAAAAAAGGTGAATTAAACTTCAAATCATGTTGTTGATTTTTGGTTGAAATCTTGGATAAATTATTAAACTTCGGATTAATTTAACCCAGGTCTTAAACAATATGGTTTAAAGGTTTGGTTGACAATTTAATTCATGTTTGTTGGCAACTCAATCAAACATCAATCAAACTGGACGTTGATCTGGCGTCTTTGCCAAGTGGCTGCTGACTCATGAAGCAATCATGACACACACCAGCTGTTGATAAAGTTCATCTAAATGAAAGGAAAGGGAAAGTGGGATACCTAGTCAGTTGCACTGCTGAATGCATTCAACCGAAATGAGTCTTCCACATTTAACCCAGGGAACCAGATTTAACAGATCTTATGAGGTTCTGGAAGGAATAAGACGCGACCCTTGCTCCTTTCTAATGCTCATATTATTTTTTGAATGCACCTCATCTCACGTTGGTTGAGAGCCTTCTACTCCTCTCCAATCTGAGGCTCTGACAATTTTATCGTCTCACATTGACTATTACAGTACTTTTTTATGAGATGTTTCTGAAAGAGGGCAACATAAAAAACATCAAACAGTTATTGCACATTATAGCATCCCCAATCAAATGTCTACTCTCTCGAAAAGCAAACAGTCTCAAGTTAAGCGATTCAAACTAGCCAGCTTATTAGTAAGGGGATCCTTGTGGTGAGACTGGTGGATGACTTAATAATAAAAATAATATGCCATTTAGCAGACGCTTTTATCCAAAGCGACTTACAGTCATGTGCGCATACATTTTTACGTATGGGTGGTCCCGGGGATCGAACCCACTACCCTGGCGTTACAAGCGCCATGCTCTACCAATTGAGCTACAGAGGACCACTAATATAATATGCCATTTAGCAGACGCTTTTATCCAAAGCGACTTACAGTCATATGCGCATACATTTTTACGTATGGGTGGTCCCGGGGATCGAACCCACTACCCTGGCGTTACAAGCGCCATGCTCTACCAATTGAGCTACAGAGGACCAATGACTTCTCAGACAGATGGCTTGAGTCTCTGACATGCTCGTTATTTATTTCCCTGGGCTGACAGGGAGGGCAAAAACCCAACCGCGGACTAACTCAGTGGGGTTTGCAAAATACACCATCAAAACATCCTGCCTTGTCTAAAGAGACGTCCTCATGAATATCGTGTACGACATACACTAATACAGCATACTTCAGTTTACATGAAAGCCTTAACACACTTATCACATTTTGCAGCATCCTGAAAAGTGCTACCTCGTGAGGAAATAGACTGTGTGTGCTGAGCTGGCGTTGTCGGCGATGGGTGCTGGAGTGAAAGCAGGCAAGGAAAGAATGGTTTAGATGATGGAGAACTCAGCCAAATACATAATAGGACACACAGCTTGTGCAGCCGTGTCTATTGATATCAAGAGGCTGTAGGTGATGAGCCTCAATATCCTGTAACTAAGAACATAACGCAGACAGTCAGTCGGTCTGAGCTGTTACCATGACATCGCTGTAGGCCATGTCATCATCGTTACAGGAGCATTGTGGGAGGAAGAAAATCAACAATGAACTTGTTTCAGTTTTACTTGGGGAAAAAATATGTTCCACCATATTAGTTCACTTTCATCAGCACAACATTACTTTTAGATAAATCAATAAAGATATCCGCTGTGACAATAATTACAACACTTCTGATCTATCAAACTTTCAGAGAGACACATAATCATATTGTAGTCCAGCTTTGCACATCAGAGGTAGAGTATAGTATGCCTGGGGGACACAAAATGATTCAGAAAACAATCATTTAGCATAGTTCTATCTTCCCAAAATCCACACTCGAACATATCTGTGTTGACGACTAAACTAAATCGTTGCTGTCCCCTTATAAATATAAAAGTGTATTCCAAGAAACTGAACAGTGTGTGACGTAAAGGTATGGAATGGCAGACTTTCTTGTCTTTTGAAATAAGAGAAGCACATAGTGTGGTACACCAAAAATGGTCTCCTCAATCATAAACTGTCTGCACATGTCTTTCACTGCACATAACAGTAAAATACATCCATACACGCAAAGGCTAGATCGTTAGGTAGTATGATTTGATCATGTTGTGAATAAAGCAACAAAGAGGTCATCAAGGTGAGTGCGACCCCCATAGGGTGGTATGGCTACTGACCCCCATTCTCCAGTCAGACAAGTGGACATCGACACTTATTGTGTGCATCGTTTTCAGCATGTCACAAATATGCGGCCTAGTTAGCTGTGCTGAATTCTGTGGTCACTGCTTTTCCAGCGCCTCTCCCTTTTAAGTAGACTGAAATCATTTGTGCCAAAGACTCCATCTTTGTCAGTGGGAATTCGGTATGAAAACTATGAATTAGTTATATTATAGTAATAACTATCCAGGAATTAAATGGACAGTTTTAACAGTAATATACTATGGATCATTAGTGGCACTGTGTTCAGACACAACAGACAGACAGGCAGGATGTATGGGATGGACGGCAGTAGGACGTTGTACTGTACTAATAGGATCTGTCTGTGTTACTTTAATATCTCTATGTGTAACTGTAATATCTGTACTAGGATCTGTCTGTGTTACTGTGATATCTTATAGGATATGTCTGTGTTCCTGGAATATATGTACTAAGATCTGTCTGTGTTACTGTGATATCTTATAAGATCTGTCTGTGTCACTGTGATATCTATACTAGAATCTGTCTGTGTTACTGTAACATTATCAGATGAATGGATGACTTATTAATACTGGAATAACATACGCTGTGCTTATACAGGCAGCCAAATCGAATATTTTTCCACTAATTAGTATTATGACCAATCAGAGCAGCTCTTTTGCTAATAATTGGGCGAAAGATCAGAATTGGGCTGCCTGTCTAAATGCAGCCATAGACACACACGCACATCGTTATACAAAAAGAGGTCAAATTGGTATATTGTAACAACATGTGAAACAATTAATCGAACAATCTATATCAGGAATATCTAGGGCTGGCTTGCTCTAAACATCAAGGAATGAATTGTTCACAAACTGATTCAAAACCAATGCAAGTACACTGTGATAGGAGTCAGATCAAACATCTGAATGGCTACCTCCAAGACTGGAATTCAGCCAAAACTGCATAGCAAACTCCCACAGAGAAACAATGGTGCAAGTCTGTGCACTTACAACTGGGTATCCATTGCTTACAGTGGTCAAAACCATTGGGCAGAAACATATAGTACAATAAACTTTGCTTTACAAGTCAATTGCATATAGTAAACAGTAATTGTTATCAACACCATGTATTTTCCCTGTGCAGAAATAATGCTATTCTCGTGCAGTGCACTTTTGATTGAATTTCCCTCTGGTTCCAAAGGTCTTCTTAATAAACAGAGCCTTCGGGCGGGGCCATTACTTTTGCTTCACAAATTAAATACAAATATATTACATTTCAAAACATGAGCAAACTGGTCTAATAATCTCACATTTCACAGTTTGACAAAGATAGCCAATAGAATATATTTACCAGACCCAACCACAGAGAAACACCCACACTGTAAAGACCTCAAACTATTTTGATAGTCTCTAAAAAACTGATCCAATTTTATTTTGAGGTCAAATTATATAATATTAGAAAATATGAGGAATTATTAGTAAAATGTAGTTAATCACAAAGAATGGATAACATTCAGCTATAGGCCTACAACCTTGAAAATTGGTACTTTGGGTGTTGTGCTCTTGCATGGTGCGCATGCAGAGATGAGGAAAACTATAGTGTGATGAATGGAATTGCAAAAGGGGCCAGACAAACTATACTGGAGGCAAAGCTATGACTGTGGAAAATATGCACGCCCTAATGTAGACCAGGTGACGCTATGATGTTTAGGGTATCAACTGCCCACACAGCAATCAGTAATGGCTTTCCACCACGCCATCACTATGCGTCATGGGCCAAGACAGCACCCAACTTATGTCATCAATACCATTGTTTGTTTGTCCTAAATAGTACAGAAACAGATATTTGCAAAAACATTCAAGGATGGGCCTATAGCCTATTATAACCTAGGTTGCTGCTTATCAAATTAAACCTGTCAACTGTCAAGAGCGCAAGGATTTGGTTTGAATATTGATTAATGTCTTCATAAGTGTGCACTCATAATAACATTTTACAAATTAATTGACAGTACAGACATGTGTATAACACATTGTGCAGCTCAATGTTGGCTACTTTAGTCGAACCAAGATTCTCAGAATTCAGCGTAGGCCTATACATAATGCAATGTATTTCATGAAACGCTAATTCAATTCCAAGAAACCTGAAAGTGAATGCACGGATATCTAGCACAAATAAACAAAGGGCGTTGAGTCTGCGTCACTGCGGCACTAGTTCATTTTCTTTGAGAATGCATTGGGCTTAATCAAAGAGAATAGAGACACTTTAATGAAATATTGAATGCATAATTAATGTTACAGTATGTACAGTAGAATTTTAATTAAACATTTTAATTTGTATCAAGGAGGCCGTGGATTGTGTTCTCAACTGATCCCGAAGAAAAACTATTTTATACAAAAATGCATAAAATATCCATACTGAAACAAAGAATGCAAGTGTATGCTGAGGAGGGAGGGGATGCAGGGGGAGAGGGGGATCACACTTCAGAAACTATAGCCTTCTCCACTCATGCTTCTTGGAATAAAGCAAAGCAGCTGAAAGCTGTACAGGCCTAATCTGATGTTTAACATTATATTTAACAAAAGAGTGTAGTAGATCTTATACTCAATATGTGTTTGAATTACATTACATTTGAATTCCAAATCATGGGAACACATACATTGGTCCATTTGTTATTTGGCCTCAAAATTGAACTTGACGAGAAAGAATAGGTTTTAATTCATATTTTATTTCCAAGTTCTGCCTTACATTAAACACGACATGAGTAATGCACTTCTATGCTTTCCCACAATACAATACAGTTACATTCCACGAATAACCTGTCCTTTACATATGCTGGTATAGCCTTCCAAGCAATAATACATGTATAGTTCCTTTTATAACACTCTCGCTACTATAGTCATACATAGGCCTTTTACACATAGACACACCCGATGAATCCATTTAGTTTCTTTATCCTATAGCAAGCATCAATGATGGGTATCATTCAAATGATAGGCAGCGTTTGTATTAATTATGTCCTATTCTAATACTCCAAGGGGGCACGTTTCTTACACATGACACAACTCAAGGCCCACCACACATAGACCTAAGGTTTGTGCGTCACAGAACAGTTAAAGCTTGCCATCACGGATTTTGCAACGCTGTGTATATATATTAGCACGTTTTCAAAACTACGACACAAATGACTTCAACGTGGCACATGTTTTTTATAGCCTACAACATCAACAAAATACAATCAATAATATATAATCCAAGAATAGCAGATGTCATAAGAAAAATAGACCCACGTTTTGTAGGCCAACGTCACTCAGGCGCCATAACTGACTCAAATGGATGATATGTCATTATTACACTGCTTTGGTGAGAAAGAGTCCACGCCACTGTGGCACGTATACCACCCATTGACAATACTTTTCTGAAAGGGTGAGGCAGTGGAAAATGTCCTGGAGCTCTGGGCGAAACTGTGGCCTGCTTGGTTGCATGGGTATTGGGTGGGCTCAGGTCTATAACCGCTCCTCTGGATCAACAATGGATCCAAGAGGCCCTCTGACCTATGTGAGGAGTAGTCCAAACTGTTGTCGAATGTGTGATGGAAACGTGATCTCAGACTTGACTCATTTCGAATCTCGGGGGATAGAGACTCTTGGGAGGAGGTGAGGGGCTGAGCGCGCGTCACGATGGTGGACGAAGCCGTTTCGCCTTGATCTGTTACTTCGGGTGACCTGGTCTCTGCAAGGTGCTCCCCGTCCCCCTCGCGCCCATCGCTGCGTTTCGCGCTGTAGTCCTTGCAGTGGAGCTTCATGTGCTTTCGGAGGGAACTTGGGTGGGTGTAACACTTCTCACACCCTCTGACCTTGCACATGTAGGGTTTATCACTGGAGTGCACGTGAGAATGCTTCTTTCGGTCGCTGCTGTTAGCAAACCTCCGATTGCAGCCCTCGAACTCACACTTAAAAGGTTTTTCACCTAAACATGCAGAGAGAGAAATCACCGCTTGTTACGATATGGTGCCTAATGTGTTCTCAACCTCTAGGTTTGTAAACTCATCTAAACTTACATTTATATTGTTATACATTTGCACATAAACAAGACAGTGACGATCGAAATAATCAACATGTTGAGTTTATGAGCAAGTGGTGTGCAGGCTATAGGCCTAATTCCAAAACGTTCCTAAAATGTTAATAAAGTCATGTCTATTTTAGTTTTGGGTGCAGTTTTTCCTGTGCAATGCCAATGTGCAATAACCATTAACGTGAATGCCTACATTTGCTCATGTTTTAACACAATTGTGTTGTCTTACATAACCTTATGTCTAATATTAACCTTAACCTAACCCCTAACCCAGAACTTCGACTGTAGGCCTAAACCCCGAATAAAAGGTAGAATTGCACAAAGTGTAATGAACATTCAATGGAAACTGTAGGTTATCTTATAAGATCTACACGAAAAATGCCCCCCAAAAATCTAAACTGACACTTCCGTCGAAAAGTTTATCTGTCGAGATATGATGAAGATAATCATGAAGATAATCAACATGGCAACAAGTAGAAAAGATAATTCCCATAGAAGTTTACACTACCCGTGAAACTCTATTAATATCGTCAATGATTTACCCCAACAGTCAGAGGGCAAGGCCGCAGTAAATAGGCCCATCATCTATCAAGGATTTTGTCAAACCCTCGATCAAGGATTTTGTCAAACGCTCGATCTCCCCAAGTCCTATTAATGTGCTAAAACTATGTTTGAACAATTCTGTCCTATATCCAGTAAACAAGGCAGAAGATCACAAGTCATATTACTACAGAGAAATTAGTGTGGGTAGGCCTAGTCTTGAAATTCCGATTAGGCCTATATGGCAAAATATGGTGAAACAGCATTTTTTCTCATCTCAAAAAGTCCCACCAAACCAAAATGTATTTCTAAAATAATATTTTTCACTATTTCTAGACAAACATTTTTTAGAAATGTGATGTGTTACTGTTTCCATACATGCATCTGTATGTACTATTCAATTAAATTGACACCATAATAATCATTCATTCGAAATACATTTTGGCACGTACATTTTAACATCAATGTTTGCTATAACGTGGCTTTTGGCATGTATAATATTTAAGGGTTCTTACCACAGAAGTTTGCCACTGATGATTTTTCTCATTGTGTTGATTTAGACAACTCTGGCTACCAACGACATAATTATTAATTTATTTTAGCCCAAATTACATTTATCTTTAGGGAATCATTTGACTATTTTTTAAATAAAAAATAAAAAAGATCAAAATAAACAGTGTTCAATTATCAACGAGCTAAATGTCCACTGCACTTTAACATTTAAATCCTGTTGATCTCTGTGAAACTTAGCAGAGATCAGACTACAAAGGCACTGTGTTGTCTATACCTCATAACCTACTTGGCTGCTGTGTTCTGCTACTACAGCATTTCCAGCGTTGTTCCTGCGCCCGCGCAGAGAGGAGTCGTCCCTACTGGGCTGCAACTGAGCGAAGCGTAAAAGCTACGTCACAACTCTCCGGTACAACTCTCCGGTGTCCCGGCATTTATTTATTTATTTAAGTGAATGAGTGGGAGAAGCACCCAAACAACTGGGCCTGAAAACTACTAGTTTGTAGCTGCAGCACTACAGGCCTTCTGTCCCGCTATTAGCACTAGCTTATGCCTCTCTCCTGTACAACTACACCCCACAACAATCACGACAGGCTATAAAGTCATCACAATATTAAAGAAACTACACCCACAACAACAGCACCACCAAAAACATAAATAATGACATCCACAGACAAAAATATTATAATAATCCTTATAATAATCATCAACATTTACATTTTAGTCATTTAGCAGACGCTCTTATCCAGAGCGACTTACAGGAGCAAGTAGGGTTAAGTGCCTTGCTCAAGGGCACATCGACAGATGTTTCACCTAGTTGGCTCGGGGATTAGAACCAGCGACCTTTCGGTTACTGGCACAACGCTTTTAACCACTAAGCTACCTGCCTCCCCAACATCATCATCATAATAGGCTATGTACATTTTAATCATCAAAGATCTAGCATGGCAGACAGTGACATATACTGTCATTCAAAACAATCAAAAGTTTGTTCAAAGAATTGCTTTAGCTTTTTCTAATATTTTTGTGCACTATAAAATGCTACTATAGTGCCATTATACTTACACAATCTAACTCTCACAATCTAATTCCTTATATAATAACATAATTTAGTAAAATAGAAACATTTCAAATATGGTTTAAATTAGGTTATCAACATTTTCTCAGAGGGTAAATTTAGTCCCCAAAAAAGAAACAACGTTTTGGCAAGTTTAATCATTGATTTGATGTATTTTGTAAGCTTTTATGTTAGCTAATTACTATTAATATTATTATTATTATTATTATTATTATTATCTTTATTATTATTGACACTAATAGTTACATACCTGTGTGTGTCCTCTTGTGAATCTTGAGGTTCTCTGATCTTGCAAAAACTTTTTCACAGCCGTGGAAAGGGCAGGGAAATGGCTTTTCCCCTGTGTGGACTCTGACGTGGTTCACCAACTTGTATTTCGCTTTGAAAGGCTTTCTGTCCCTCGGACAATTCTCCCAGTGACACACGTATTCAGAGTGCTCTGGTCCTCCGACATGTTCCACTGTCACATGGGTGACAAGTTCATACATAGTCCCGAAAGTTCTGGCGCAGGGCTGCTTCCCAGCCCCCTCTTGGCTGTCACTCCACTTACACACAAGCTCGTGCTTCAGGTTCTGTTTGGAGCACCTCAGGAAAGCATCACCCCCTCCACGTTGAATTGCCATGTTCAGCGGTTTGTAGAGACCCAGGAACTGAGAAACAAGTTGTTGGCTCTTTCCCCTGGGACCGCTGATGCTCTGGCCGTAAGGGTGCGTCCGGGTGAGGAGGTCCCCAGGTAGACCCAGCATCACTTGACCGGAGAGGTCTCGGGTCGCGTCGGAGGAGCCATGGGCCTGCTCGTGATAAGCGGTGAAAAAAGCGTGGCTTCTGCTATCTCTATAGCTAGGCAGGTCACGGTACGTTCCAATTCCACCATGTTGGTTACTTCTTGATGCCAGTTGATCAGTGACGGGTGCCATGCCGGCTCCAGAAAGATTGGCTCCAATGATAATGCCCCTAGGGCTGTGCTCTAACCGGTGGCTGGGGTATCCAGAGTCTGCAAAATGGGGAACCGAATGGTCAACATATGCACTGTACCTCGTCTCGGGATAGTCTCGCAAATTGTGCGAGGGGCAGAGCTTTAAGGAACTGCCAGTGGGGTGCCCTATGTGCTCCCCTGCCAAAGGTGGCAGCACCACGCTGGGTTCAGTATTGCTCTCCCCGGGGTTGACGCAAGAAAGAAGGCAGCCACTAAACCTCGAAAGAGTTGTCATGTTTTGTTGTGAGTTTGGCTGTGAGTTTGCAAAACCAACCAATTCTGTGCTCAAGAATTACCTAGAAATATTGTTTCCATTTTCTTTGCTGTTTATCATCTGTATGTGAAATTCTTGGCCGTGAACTTCGCAGGAGCAGGAACCAGACTCAAGTTCGTTAAAGTTGGTGTGACTCCCATGCCGTTCACTTTGCCCTCTTGATTTGTGGCAATAACCGTGGTAGTAAAAATGCTTCGAAACAGGCCATGGTGCAATATAAAAGCACAGCAGGCAAATCTGCTTTAAAAAAAAGGCGCTTTGGGATTGGTTGGAATGTGGTATGATTGACAGGCGCTGGGTTTGTTTTAAAAGGGACACGCAGGCGTTCACTGCACGACTCCGTCTTCAAATATCTCATAGAAAATGCTTTGAAATGTGCGCGGTATAGGCTACACTGCCAAATATTGGTGTCTCTTTGACTCTAGGCGCCACATTACAACCGCCTATTTGTAAATGTCTAACGTAAATGTAATAAATGTCTTCAAATGCTGGACATTTCTGGACATTTTGTGTGGAAGTCTAATAGACTACACAATTACGATATTCAAATCCAATGTTAAAGTATCAAATGTCAGAACTTTTAATTTAATTTAATGTTTATTTTACTGGAAGGAAAAGGTTGCAAAAATACATTCTAGGTTAAAGGTCCAATGCACCCGTTTATATCTCAATATCAAATCATTTCTGGGTAACAATTAATTATCTTACTGTATTTGTTTTCATTTAAAATGGTAAAAAAAATTACAAAAATAGCATCTTAGCATAGAGCATTTTCTAAAGCAATAATTTTGCTAGGACTGTCTGGGAGTGGTCTTAGTGGGGAGGAGAAAACGAACTGTTATTGGCAGAGAGGTTTGGAACTCTCTTTGTTATTGGTCTATTAACTAATTTACCACCTGGTGATGTCACCAGGCAGGTCAAAACTCCATTCCACCAAAACAGGCTGAAATTTCAGGCAGTCTTTTCAAACATCTCTTACACTAAAAAGGCATTATCATCATTTTCACAATTTCACAGTATTATTCCAAACTCATAGTGTGGAAATATATATAAAACACAGGAAAATCAAGTTTTTGACTGCACTGGGCCTTTACAATTCCGCTTTTCAGTCCTGACCAAGTGGGGTAAGGCTGCAGACAAAAACAGAGAAGAGTAGCCCTATACCCTAAAAAGACCAAAATCAATCACATATCAATACATCTGGCGTACAACAACAACTATATTTAACTAAACAAAAGAGTTAAGCAACTTTAAAACATGGGTACATGGATGGTGGGTTACAAGCTTATAGCCTCAAGGTAAAAGGGCAACAACACTATCAAAACAAACAGACAATTTGCATACGGATTTTTACTAACTATTTTGCAGAGAAAAAACGTCTAATTTATTTCTTGATATTCGAATAGGCATACATTGATTTTCCAATGGCGTTCCATAAACGTGTCCATAAACCGTTCATTTTCTTCCATTCTTGCCAGTCTACTTCTCAATTTCGCTGACAACTCTAAGCCGATTGGATTTTCTCTCACGTCATGCTACAGCACCTGATTTAACGAGCATGTTTAACAAGGTCAACCTTCTTCATATCTAGACACACAACTACGTCAAACTGTAACTGCTGGCATAGCAATTCATTTACATTTACATTTTAGTCATTTAGCAGACGCTCTAATCCAGAGCGACTTACAGTTAGAGTCCACACATTTTTCATATAGGCTATCCTAGCGCCTTAAGGGTATGCACTCTTTCATGTCTTATGCATGTAGACTACCATCATGGGAACAATCTATGATGTAAAATTATTTGTAGGTGTTCAAAACAAGCCGAATCTGTCACTTGTAGAAAAATAACAGTGAAGAATATGACTATTGTGAAAAGTATCTCTCCAAAGGCTGCAGCGATGCAACTCAGGCCATGCAGGGATGCTGCAACAACTAATCTATCTGGCAAACACATTTCAAACAGTAATTTATCCTGCCAAAGGATTAGAGTTGTATTTAGCGGGTTTTAGTTGTAAATTATACAGGCCAATAAACCAATGTTCCCAAAGTAATAGTCCATGCGTCTTCGTTAGGTTATAGCAGGCCTATATTTTCCGTTAAGCCGTTTTGTGATTAGTTTGGATGCAGAGGTGCACATCGAATGTAGATTTAATTAGTCAACTATTATTTCTCAAGACTGTATTGTCCTCTAACTTTCAAAGTCCAGTTTCAACATTGTTGTTCTGACGTCGCACTCAAGGGACTAGGCCCAGACAATGGGAGCGTGAGGCCCACTTGACATAAAGTGCCGTGACATAGACAAACACCTTTGGTCAAACTCTGTAATTACTGTAACGCATGCTCATGTTGGTCGGCCTTTAACCTGGCGCATTTCCGAACAAAATTGCTGGAAAACTTCACGTTTTAGTCACTAGCATAGTAATTTGTAGCCTATAAAAGAGTCTACACTGGGGTATCGAGGTTTTAGGGGATGTCTTCGTTTCCAAATAAATTGTAAAAACAAAAAGTAGATCAACAAACCAGACAAAAACGGGATTATGATCAATTACGCCCCATTGCCATCTGTCTCTGCATCAACTTTCGTTGAGGCCCACTATCTCTCAGATCCTCTGTCTATTTATTGAATATTGGCATTGCATATCGCGTGACTTCCTTATAATAATAGCTACATGCAACATACGCATAAACAACAGACATCTTTACCTTGTGTCCTTGAACATTTCACGTAAACTTGGGAGTGTTGATGCGGTGGCCTATGGCTTTTAGGTTGCGATCAGCCACTGAATGTCAAACGCCCGATTTCTTCAATTTAATCAATCAAAATAAGTAGCTAGCCTATATAAAGCCAAAATAACATTGGTGGTGCTTGGTGGTTTATGTCTGGTGTTTTGTGAAGAAGAAGAAGAAAATTGACGCATAAAAATAGAAGAAAAATAGGTATAGACACTAAAATAAATAAATAAAATATTGCACAGAAGTGATATAGGCTACTGTCAAAATGAAGTGAGTCAATCCATCTTATGAAGCAGACAATTCTTCAGACTTACTTAAAGCTGAATTCATGTTTCACTAATACAGTATACAAATCCACAATCCAAAGAAATGCCTTGGTCATCAATAAACTGAAACATACTGCACAGTACAAAATGTATGTAGTACAGTAGTAGCCTACAGATCATGTGCACTTGTTATGGGGCAGTTGGCATGTTGACAGCCATAGGATGTTAGTAGTTTTATTTGAATATGAGTAGCTATATAGTACCCAGAAAAGCAAAACTGTACAGTATGCATGTGTAATAGCTTTGATTGCTAACTCAAGACATGCAGTTTACAGCTAAGTTGTGACTATCAACACAAAAAAGTAGTGTCACACTGAGAATATTGATTGCATTAATTGTAGAATGATACATGTAAGGCTAACAGGCCATATGATATGATACGGATGATCACATTCAAAATACACAGCCATAGAATATAAACAGTGGCTTATGAGGCCTGAGTTGTAGCATATAGCCTCAGCAGAATCAAAATGCACTTGGCTTCAAAGAACACAAAAATGCTGTAAATGGTTGTTCATATATTATATTATATATATATTATGACAGCAGTTGAATATCAGTGCAATAACCTAATCGATTTGACCTAGACTTAACACTATTTAGCTTTCTCAATGTGTCTGCGATGATCGAATGCTGTTTAAAATGGCACCCATCGCCCATGTTAGAAAGGGCCCTCTGTTCAGCGCACAGTAAATTGCACGGCTGTGCATATTGTTCATGACCTGTTATTACGTAGTCCTATACGGTAATCAACAGGAATCATACCCAAGTAAGTGACAAACTACTCTGCTCAGAACCTTTATTACACTTCATGTATTTGATATGCACCCATTTAAAACCAGCCGAGGTGGAAAAAAAGCACATGAAAAAGAACTGGTAAGTTCATAGGTCATCATTTTTGTGTGATTTAGACCATTTTGACTCTCTGATAAATGGTATCCGTGTATCCGCATGTGTGTGTAACCCTGTGTGTATCTGTGTGTGTGTGTCTCTGTGTGTATCTGTGTGTGTGTGTCTCTGTGTGTATGTCCATGTGTATCCATGTGTGTCTCTGTGTGTGTGTCTGTGTGTATCCGTGTGTGTGTGTATCTGTGTGTGTGCCTGTGTGAGAGTATTAACGTGTGTGTCCGTGTGTTCATCTGTGTGTGTGTGTATTCGTGTGTGTGTATCCATGTGTGTGTGTGTGTGTGTGTGTGTGTGTGTGTGAATAATGTGATAATGGATGAGAATATTCACTGGCACTGCACTCTTGTCATGACTTCATGAAATTTAGATGAATTAAGAGGTTTGGGGTGAAGCCATTGGCAGACAGATGTTCCAATAAATCACAGCGAGGAGTCAATTAGCCATATTGATAAACCATATCAAAGACGTGATTAAAAAGCCAACAGACAGTCAATGGTGCACGTCTTGAACTTGTAGTAGACTGAACTGACCACAAACACCAAAGCGTGTACAGTTACTTCTTGAACTATCATGTCTGAAATGTGTCTTTCCAATATTAACATCTGAGTAGAACATGTCATTAGCAGTGGACAGGTTACAAACCCTGAAAGAGGATGACTGATTAATACAAAAAGGTGTATCTTTGAGCGAAGGGTGCATCTATGTAACTTCAAAACTAGTCCCCCAAAAATTGCAGGAAATAATCGAAGCATTCCATCCCACTTGATGGCTAATGCCTGGAAGATCTGGCAGATTTGTACTGTATTCCTCCTCCATATCGTACATGACCTTCATGACCTTGGCTGCCTCAGAGTAGCAGAAGGGGTACTTGTGTCTTTAACATGGACAAACAGAGGTCAAGTGATATCATTTGTCCATGATGGGACGATAAACAACTTACACAAAGCATTCAAATGCTACAAAGTTTCTAAGAGCTTCTCCTTTCTTTCTAACCATAACAAACTACAGAAATAATCCCAAAATGGACTGGACCTTAGGTTAAGGTGTTATAAATATGAGTGCATGAACAAGTATACCCATTTGTTATAGTCCCATGGGATATATCCATTGTGTATTGTCCAATCTGTTCTAAGAAAAGATGTAGGGTTCAGTTCAACTTTGAAGTGTAATATGATGCTCTCTCTTGGTTTATCGCTCTGCTGATTTAGAGGTGAAAAGATAAGCCTTTCCCAGAAGCTGAGCAAAAATCTGTTGTTGTATTCACAAAGTGTATTTTTTTACAATATTTTCCAATAACAACCTGTGTCAAAACTTGCAACAGCATACTTACTATGTTTTCAGATTCATACCCACATGCATCCCTAAAACAAGATTGGTTGAAACATGAGTGCACCTAAAATCCTACAAATATTGCAATTCATTACAAAAAACAATACATCAACACTACATATCAATAGTCCATTAAATTGCTAGTGTATTAAACACCATTTTCCCATTTCATTTGAACTTCTTAATGTAGATAACAGAAGACTAACTCAATTACTGTTGATCATGCAATAAATCATCTTTATGCTGTGATTCAATTCAGCAAGAGATTGGGTAGTTTTACAAATTTGCACACACACACACACACACACACACACACACACACACACACACACACACACACACACACACACACACACACACACACACACACACACATATATTCGATTAGGAATGAATTTGTTAACATTGAAGGTGAATGATATACAATATTTTAGTTTGGTGACTATTGGGTTAACTATTGAGCAGGAAAGTTTCCTCAATAAACTTGTGGTGGGCTACTGCACGGGCGGCTTCAGCTCAAGCACCGCTACACGTCTGAGAGAGGCCCAGCCATGCTAATAACGGACAGCCATTGCACAAAGACATCTACATTAACCTGGAATTTTAATAGTTTGTCAAATATTTCAAATGTGAGCTATCAAATCATTTGTTTACCATGTCCAGTATAGTTTTCATTGATAATGTTGATAAGAAAAGTGCATTAGGCTTATCTCACAGTTTGTGTCCTAAACACAACACCAATATAAATTGCATATGTGTCCAGGTAAATTTGATAATATAGGTATATTTTCTGCAGGAACTTTGAATTGCAAGACTAATTAATTGTTCATTATCAAAGCAATGGTGCCATTATCAACTCAGAGAGCGATTTGTATAGCTAAGCAATAGTCTTGATAAATATTAGACTACCAGAATAGTGTTTCTGAGAAGCTCATGCGCATGCTCAGGACAAATATTATGAGCTTGCAACCATCTTCGAAAATGATTTCCTCGCTAAAGCTACATGAATTACCTTGGCAAATATAACACTTAAGTAAGGCATAGCAAGCAATAAATAGGCATACATTATTTACAATTCAAATTGAGACAGTCCACTGTCTGCGGTTGATTGGTGAAAAATTATAATGTACAATCATGAAGAGATAGTATATCAATGTATCTGCAAGCAACAAACGAAAGCAAAAGAACTCCATGCATTACAATTTCAAATTTTAAAATAGGAGTGTTTGGCTGCACCATAAATGCAAACGAGGAGACAACAATAAATTATGTCAGCCAAAAAAAATAAAAAATGCTAAATGTTAGGCCTATACTGGCAATACAGACTGAACGACAGTGTTGAGAAACAATATATTGAGGGCAAAAGACACAGGCCAAGTTTTCAGTATCAGGACCTACTCTGTTACAATTGCAACAGAAACAACTTTTGGTATTCTTAAAAAAGTATTTGTAGATAGGCAAAAGTGGTAGGTTACGTTTGCAGTCTTATTCAACAATCCTCGAAATATTTGAGTATACCAAAACAATTAATGATATTGTATAATCTTGGTGACATCTGAGAGGCCTACGCTTTGATCATTCTAAAAGAAGCGTCGGAAGTGATTGTAATTTGTTTTAAATATCGTGATAGTAAGTCCAGTCATCCCTCTGTATGTGATCTTCAGTTTGTTACATCAACATGGCAAAATTGGATAACTTAACTTTGTTTTTTTGGTTTATGGTACAACCAGATAGGTCATGAAAGGTGTTGTTGGAAACTCAACTAGGCTATAGTATTTTCTAATGAGTAAATGTAATATAAATAAACTAACGTTTGATGTGGTGCTGTGCAAAGTTGTAGATAATGCTCGCATCTGAATCAATGTATTCGTCTGAAATTCAAGAACATTAGAGTGTAGGCCTTCCTGTAGGTCGTTTTTTGCATCACATTCTGTGTTTGGCTCTCTTCGGCTAGCAACAGTTGCTTTTGATTATTTGGTGAAGACAGTAACCTGTAACAACACACGAGGCCTTAGGAGGCCAAAGGTCGGTGAACCTCTCTTGCCATAGTCTAAACTCCAAGACTCCTAATACTGCAGCAAAGTTGGTTGCTGATAGAATTGAATTGTGTGCTCCGTTGTAGAGACAAGAGTGCACGTGCTTCTCATCGTTAATCATTTTATAGTAACACTCTCACTGTGAACATACCACATATAATAACCTTACAGAGTCCTTTCGTTTCAACAAGTCAATAAAATATCGAAGAGGAAAAGTTAAGAAAACTTAACTGCCTGTCACTTGTGAAAGTTCACAAAGGTCTCCATAAATCTCATGCTCTAAAGCTTCAAGGCTATTCACAGTTAACGCATGTTCTCCTTCTCTCACACAGTGTGTGTGTGTGAGTGTGCTGAGAGAGAGAGAGAGAGAAGAGAGTGAAGAGAGAGTAAAAGAGTGTTTGTGTATGTGAGTGTGTGTGAGTGTATGTGTGTGGGTGTGGGTGTGAGAGAGAGAGAGAGAGAGAGAGAAGAGAGAGAGAGAGAGAGAGAGAGAGAGAGAGAGAGGAGGGAGGGAGGGAGGGAGGGAGGGAGGGAGGGAGGAAGGGAGGGAGGAAGCGCGCGCGATAGGGAGAAAAATGAGGGAGAGGGAATCATTCCGTTTTCCGTAAAAAATGTTTTTTGTTGAGTTTAGGAACGCAGCTGAGATCTATCTGCTCTAAAAGGAGCACAAACGTTTAACTTTCATGAAACAACATGACTGATAGGAGTAAATGATGAACATGTCTCTTAAAAAAGTTACCACAAGAAACAACTAAAGTTCTGAATATCATAAACAAGTGTCCCGAGCTGACTTTCAAGGAAAGCACAGATTCACACACCCCCACAGCATCCTTACAATTACTCCACGGTTGCTTTCCTTTAAAAAAAAAAGTAGCCTCAACAATTTAAATATTGCATAAATAAGAAAACTCACCTTATAATTTAAAATACTTATTCTCGAAGAGGAATATGTTGTGGGAATGATTGCGGGGTGGAGGGCGAAAGCAGACTGAAGGACTGATTTGAAGATTTTTCTCTTTTTCTTTTTTCAGATGTCTAAAATAAAGAATGTGAGCTCCTTCCTGGGACAGATTGAGGGGAAAGGGATGTGAAAGGATTGGAGTTATAAAGCGCCGCTTGAAGCACTCAACGCGTCTCTGAACTTGATCAGATTTTATGTGTCCTGCAGCGTCAGCGGCTACCCTGTGAAACTCGCTCAATGGCACGAATTTTTGGATAAGCAAAAAATCTCAGGATATTACAATTACTGCCATCTTTCTTTCTGTCTTTTATTCTTGCGTCTTACACCCATTAGAGCTTTGCAAAAAAATGACCCCCTCCTTTCTCAAGCGGCTTCAAGAAAGCCACATTTCGGATCTCTGCCAACTACATTCATGTTCTCAGTTCATAAGAACCAAAATGCTCAGATAAAAAGATAGCTAGATAGCTAGATAGATAGATAGCTAGATAGCTAGATAGATAGATAGATAGATAGATAGATAGATAGATAGATAGATAGATAGATAGATAGATAGATAGATAGATAGTGTAAACTGGAATGATTGTGTTACATGTGTATTTAGAAATAAACTATTCAGAAACATGTAGGCAAACGTTTACAAAATTATGCCCCACCAAAATGCACCAAATAAATAAAGTGTTATCTTTCTGCATAGAAGCTGAATTGTGTTTGTTGATTAAACAGCATGCTCTTGGTATGACTGAACTCTTCGACATTAATAAAAAAGGAAAGGCCTTGGTCATTATCTGAAGTTTGGATAATGGTATACTTTTTCCAAAAGTTGCAAAGAACCCAATTTTCAGAAACTTTGTTGCATTTCATAGCCCATTGGCCTATCTACAACAAACATTTGCAATGACTATTGGCCTCTGGTTTAATATTTACAGCTTATAATAGTGTTTAGCCAAATTTTGCAACGGTTTCTGCGTTATATCACGGAAAATAAATAATGCTCATGGTATTGAAGCGAGAGAGTGCTCCGATACCTTACCTGAAAAATAATGCCTGCACTAACCAATCAAAATAAACCATTGAGATGAACTGCCATTTTCAATAGCAAACCGTGCCAATCAACAGACATCTAGCCAATTAACTCCCTTCTTTGGCGTCACGTGCCAAAGGGGTAGCTGAGCTCTCATTGGGCGTCGTAGCACTGCCTCCCGAGTTCATTTATGTGCCGGGAGCGAGTGATTGACTTTATCAGTCCAAGGACATCATTCCTCTGGAAAGGGGGGGAAGTTTGATCCTCTTTCTCACGGATCCCAGTAACGGGAGTTTTTCTCCTCGCTCTGTAAGCGAAGGATTGTTTTTTCGTTGTTTTGGTGTTTTTACAGTAAAACAAATCTTATTCTACGTTTCAACGCACTGAAATCGGGTGCCCGTTATTCACGGTTAGAGTGAGCTCCACTAACCTGGGGTTTCAGTTTATTTTTTCTTTTATTTCGTTTTCTAAGTTCGTTTGAGCCCAATGACTATGCTCCTTGACAGCGGTCCGCAGTTCCCATCGCTAGGAGTGGGGGGTTTCGGAACACCGCGGCACCATGAGATAGGGAACAGAGATCCCGGTTTGGGACTTAATCCCTTCGCTGATTCATCCCACTCCGCAGCTTTCAAACTCAGCCCAGTGGCTCACGATATAACCTCCAGCCAGACTTCAGCTTTTACCCCGCAAGCCAGTGGATATGCTGCTGCCCTGGGACACCATCACGGCGGACAGGTGGGTTCGTACGGCGGCGGACCGTTCAATTCAACCAGGGACTTTCTATTCAGAAACCGTGGCGTTGGAGAGTCCGCTGCATCGAGTGCCCAGCATGGGATCTTTGCCGCTTCTGCTGGGAGCCTGCACGGACCTCCTGGAATCTCCGATAACCCTGGACATCTGTTGTTTTCAGGGCTCCACGACCAGGGCGTGAGCCACACTTCGCCAAGCGGACATGTAGTCAACAGTCAAATACATCTTGGTTTACGCGGGGACATTTTTGGAAGACCCGATCCGTACCGTCCGGTCGCCAGCCCTCGGACGGACCCCTATGGCGCACAGCTCCACAACTACAACCATCCAATGGGGATGAATATGGGGATGAATGTGCCGACACACCACGGTCCTGGGGCCTTCTTTAGATACATGAGGCAACCCATAAAGCAAGAAATGTCCTGTAAATGGATAGATGAGAACCAGATGAACCGACCCAAAAAGACTTGCGAAAGGACTTTCAGCACAATGCACGAGATGGTGACGCATGTCTCCATGGAACACGTTGGCGGCCCCGAGCAAAGTAACCACATTTGCTTCTGGGAGGATTGCCCGAGAGAGGGGAAATCTTTTAAGGCCAAGTACAAACTCGTGAACCACATTCGAGTGCACACTGGAGAGAAACCATTCCCCTGTCCATTCCCTGGTTGTGGGAAAATATTCGCCAGGTCGGAAAATTTGAAAATTCACAAACGAACACACACAGGTAATTACTTTCCTCAAGTTTGCTGACAAACAACAGCCACACGTTTAAAGTTGCCTATCCATAGGCCTGTTGTTTTCATTGTGCATGGGGAAAAGAATAGGCCTAGGCAAATGTTGAGAGATTGTTGCATTTTATAGACTAATGCAAGAACGAGTGAAGGCCGCAATTTGGTTTGTAATTTAGGCTGGGATAAGAAATATGTTGGAACGAAAATATAATATTATTTTACGCACTGAATATTGCATTTGTTGAACGGTCGGATAACCTAAATTACATCTCAATATCAAACGTGCATATGTTGATGTTGTATTGTGTTGACATATTTCTCGATCGGAGAAGCTATTCTGCACGCTATCGAGGTGTTGATCAAGTTAAATTGTGTGTATTAAGGGAGAGACAGACACATACTTCCCCCAAACTAAAGTGTGAGCGAATTAGCTTAACTAGGACTACATTTAGACGGACTACCCACAGTGTGGTTTTGTGAGTCTGGCCCGTTACTCTCAGTCCTTGTTTACTAGGCTAGGCTATATGCTACTCCATCCAATACAAATCAGTGCAGCAGTTGGGTTGTAACATTGGACCCTATTTAAACACACTACGACAAAGCACACAACGGTAATATCAAATGATATATACTACATCAAAAATGCCTATAATAGCATTGACTGATCCATATTTGTGCACTTTGAGATGTAATTTAGGTTATCCGACCGTAGCCTAACAAATGTAGGCCTGTATTGAACATATCATGCATGCTGTTGCTATTCACAGAGCACTATTGTTATTCACAGGGCAGACTTCATCGATGGTGAATCAAGCCAGCATCACTATCAACTCTTGCATAGGCCTATGTCGGGATGGTAGGCTTATCACTCTACTGTGTATAGGGGTTGAACTGTGTTTATTCCATCTTTGCAGGTGAGAAGCCGTTCAAGTGTGAATTCGACGGCTGCGACAGACGCTTCGCCAACAGCAGTGACAGGAAAAAGCACATGCACGTGCACACTTCTGATAAGCCTTACATCTGCAAAGTGTGCGACAAGTCCTACACGCACCCCAGCTCTCTCAGGAAACACATGAAGGTAATTAACGTGTTCATTTCACCTTAAACACACATTAACACAATACACTCCCTTGACCCAGGGCTAATCAAAGAATCAGCCCCAAACAGCATCACTGCTATCTCACTGGTTTGGAGTGTAATAGAATGCATATTTATTTCCCAAATATTAAGCTAATACTTATAGGCTAAGTTAGAGAAGCAAATAGCGCTGCAATGCAATAGCAATTTGATAGATCAAAGGGTCAGTTGTATTGACTTAAGCTGTGTTGAGTGTGTGCAACATATTCAACGTTATTCTTCATGCTATAGGGCCTATAGACATATGCATATATCATAGCAACTCCTCTTGTTTTATTTAATTATTATTACAGGTACACGAGTCTCAAGGTTCTGAGTCGTCTCCAGCAGCAAGTTCTGGATATGAGTCGTCCACACCACCAGTTCTGGTATCAGCGAACACTGAAGACCCAACAAAAACACCACCGTCAGCCGTGCAAAACACGTCCGGGCACAGCGATGGACTCCCACCCAACTTTAATGAATGGTATGTTTGAAGTCATAACCAGGCTGTCAATGTGGACCAAGATTAAGGAAACCTTAAAAACTCACACCAACGTGTACACAAAATTGGATTGGAACAACACGAGGAGATGAGAGCAAGCCAGCAGTAGCAGGCCTTGTCCTTTCTCAGGATTGGGGTTTGACTTTTATTCCGAGGTCGAAGAAAACAAATAAATCATAAATAATGAAATAATACTTTCTAAGAATAAATAAAATGTTTTTTTTATTTTAATTTTTTAGTTTACAGATTTCAAATGATTATTTTATTTTTCATTTTATGTATTTTCTCAAAATTGTATTTAAAAATAAAGGAAAAAGGAATAATATTTCACGGTGTTTTATATAATGGTGACAAACTACTGTCGCCTTTCAATTGATTGTTAAAACTTCAGACAGTCTTAAGAAACGTGCCAAAGTCTTTGTCTTGAACTTGAACAAAAAATAAATCATAAATAAATATATACTCGTGAATGTATTTCCTTGTTTGATGGGGTCGAATCTGTTGTCAATGTCCGTTTTCAGGTGGAGAAATGTGGTATTAGGTTACGATTGTTGCCGTTGAATATAACGTTGCCTTTTGTTAATAACGTTGTAAATACATATCCATGCTGCCATATTTATCAATTTGTAATTTAATTATGGGTATAAGTTCTGAAACGTAAAGATATTTATGGAAATGTTTTCTAACAAGACTGTACAGATTTGGGTCATAACCAATTTAACATTGAACAAAGTGATTAACTCTAAAGCGCCAATATCGCGATTGTATCTTATTTTTAAGCAATATATGTGTCTTATTTGGATCTAAGATATCGTCTATATAAATATGATGAATGTCTATATAATGCACATTTTTCCATCACTTATTGTTTAGCTTGTGAGACCATTGACATGTGAATCATCAATTCTGTAAATCTTGTGAGTTGGTAAACTATATAAAACGGTTCTGTCCATATCCTTTTGGTCAAAGTAACGATTTTTTTTGTGTATTTTACTTTGATAGAATCAGAGAGTAGAGTTCAATTGTAGCATAATTTCAGTACACATTCGAACGATCCATCAGCTACTGCACTCGTCGCATTTACAGATGTTAATACCTAGTTCATTCATGAATTTCAAACCAAGGTGGCAGTATTTAGAGTATTTCAAATTCGGGTCAAATACCCAAACATATGAGCCAGTATGGCAGTCATTTATAGTTCCAACAATGTCTTTGTGCAAGTAGGCCTATGTTAAAATGTGTGCATCGGCAACAATGGAACTGTCACAACACAGTATCTTCAAAATAAAAGTGTTTTTGTCTGTCAGCTTGCATTGTTTTAAATGTAATTCTTCTGTGAAACTAAGCGTGTTATTTGTTATAAGTACTGTGGTGTTGCATATAGAAACGTTTGATTATACATTTGCTTGTTTTGTGTGAATAAGCTGTCGAGAAAACATTTTTGTGTGAACACAATTTAGTCTGGGAACACTAATAGATATATGTGGGTTGGGGAAAATATGTTCAGTGGCACAAAGAATTACAGCATTGCATTGTAACCTATTTTCAAGAATTGAATCTTATGCATACCACAAAATATATTGTGCTTATGAGAACGATTTCAGACCACCAGCACTACAAAATGTAAAAACAGTACCTCGTAAGTGACAGTGATAAATAAAATACGTTTATTTAAATAATTTAAGGAATATATGTTTTATATACTATTTTCTATACATTAATTTAAAAGAAAAACGTTTTTTCTTATTCCCACAACCCGTATGCCCCATGTCCTGACGTCAGAGCACATTTCTGATGTATAAACGCAGCTAGAATGTGATGTTGTAACACTTTCTGGGAGAAATGGGTCACGCTCCAAGTTATTCCTGAAAAGCAAAATGTTTTACTGATGAACTGTGTCACTGTGCCACAATCGAGGCAAACGATGATACAACAGCGAGCCTATTTGTTATTTAGCGGAAATAGGCAAAGGTTCCTTATACTTTTTAAAGTAGGCTATTGTTTGTTGGTTTGTTTGTTTTACCAACTATTTATGAAGAAATGTGAACATAAATTTTGACTGAAATTAAAAAATAATGAAAAATAACAGACTGCGACGTTTATCATTCTTTGTCATTGTTGTATTACTCTCTGCGAAGATCATATATACGTTTTATTTGTCTTCGAGTCTGTGAGACTCGGCACTTTACTTGAACTTGACACTGAGGAAGGCGCCATCTTAGCATCTTGTTTCTGGGGCGAGAGAGGGACAGGAAAAGTTATCGACTGTAGCCTACTTGGTGCTTTCTAAAAGGAGGTGCGATTGGGCGAAACATTCGCCTGTGGGAATGAAAGTGCCACTTAAATGGGATCACAACGTGAGAACTATCAAACAAACAACTACTAAAAAGCAAGGCAAGAGAGTGAGTCAAATGAGGACATAAGCTAGCGCGAAAGTATCGTCATACAGCATACTAGTCAGGCTGCCAAATGTAACCACTGAGCACCAAATCAGTCGGTTTACGCATGCATGTGCTGAGTGCTGCTGACCGTTGACAATGTATGTATGGCCCACTACAGCGAGAAATAGTTTGAAAAACGTTGTAGTAGCTTATAAGCGAGGAGTCTCATGAAAGATGAATTGTGTGTAGGCTACTTCGCAAATATTAAATCATATAGGGTATCAAACTCAAATGAATGAAAATAAGTCATCATGCTAAACAACCTTATTTGCATTAACCAAAACCCTTGAAACAAGATTTGTTTACAAACTGGTAGGCTAACGTTTGCATTTTAATCTTCAGTAATAATGCGGGAAGATATAGAAGCCTATTGTGTTTGAATCATGATTTAACTTGTGATGATTGTTGGCTATGATTGTAAATTAATGTGGTTTGCTATAAGACTTATTTATTACTACGCAGTATTTTGGGCCCCACACTCACATAATCTACCCCCACTTCGAGCCCTGCCCTACCCCCATCTTCAAATATAAACAGATTTAAGAATTTATTCAAATTCCGTTTTCCCTCCTCGTGCGCAAGCGCACTCTTGTATTTCACAAGGACATGTTTTTCCCTTACCCATGCAGTTCAAGTTCTTTCTAACCGACCGCATGACGTCAAAAAATGGGACAGGTTTTCCCTGCGAGTAGCTCTGTGAAACAGAACGCTCACGAAAGCTGAACCACGCATTTATGATGATGATGGCATAACGGAAGAATAGCCTAACTCATACCTTATGCAGGCAAATATAACTTAATACAACACGATAACTCCTAACATAATCGTGTTTTGAGATGATGAGAAAACGGGGTGTATCCAAAAGAAAAACATGAAAGGCTCCTTTATGAGGATTCTCAATGGGATTAGAAAGCACTGGCAGTCACGTGGTAGGAGATGCGTAGCGGTTGTCTGACAGTGGTGTTTGTGAATACAGTAGTAGGCTCTATGTATGTGAATAGCATTAATATGAAGTGTTCATTCATCTCGACATATGGACGGGGATATATTTGGAACCATAGAACCGCTTTGGCACCGCACGGCGCACACAATCTCTCCACGACTCTAGCGCTCACAGTCACAGATGTGCTCTCATCATATTGGTAGTAGCCTAGTCATTTTGAAGAACTATCCTGGCTATAACGAGGAAACAAACTGGCAAAGTCTGCATAAACTGTTACAATTTTATCCATTGAAAACTAAACCAACGCACCCTTTCCCCCTTCCTCCACCAATCTCAATCTCATAGCATGTGCTGGCTAAACGCGGAAGCACCGTCTATAAGAGGATAAACCGATACAAGCAGGTTCCAAACCCTTTTTGTCACGCAACCGAGTTTGTGATCTTAATAAACTCGCTGGCTAAAAGAGCTCGCGCAAGGTATGCTGAGTGAGAGTGTATCAGAGTTTGAGTCTGGCACGCAGTGCATGGAATGGGCTACATTCTTCAGATTCACGTTCTCCTTTCTAAATATTTGAAACCCAGCAACTCACGCCTCCATCAAATAAACTATAAAGTTTAACCTATTGAGGTATGTGGAATTTGGATGGTGCAGTGTTTGTGTTGGGTTCTCAGTGATACAAGAAAGTTCAAGTGGTCAAAAAATCTAGGCCTATATTCAGTTGGGCCAAATCTTAAACTGGTCTCTTTCTTAACGCAATTAAAATCTAAAATTACGCACAAGACAATCAAGTTCCAACATGTTTTTTTCGGGAAAAAATAAATATTAAAAAAAAAATCCGATTCCTCAGAACATGTAATTGGCCACTTAGTTGTAAATCGTTTATTAGGCCTACTAAGTTTTTTATTGAGTGATGCTGTTGTGCATGAATAAAAACCAAATGTGTTCATTTGGAGATGGAATAAAACAGGCGCCTTTACAATAATACAACTAAATGTAGTGTTAGAGCCTTGAAAAGCCTGCCATTTTAATAAAAACAACTGTTAATTTCAAGTTTCTTAAACTTCTCAAATCAGTGAAAACAATGCTATCTTGGGACACTATTACGCACATGCGTAATTAGCTCGTTATAACCTCAGGTGGATTTAGTATTCGCGTTAAATGCGACGCATTGCAACAATCAAAGTAACACTTAATAATATCATGACATTTGCATACAGACTAACAGTCATCAGAGAATTACCTAACTATGGCCCATCGCCATCGATTTGCACGACCATCATTATAACCTGCTTATCAATTACTGATGCTTATTTCATCTGCAGATCGAGGCCTGTTGAATATGCATAGGTTTTCACTGAGAACGGTAATCCAGGATGTGTGTCTTAATTTTGTTACATGGCTTTTGTGATGGTAACGACGTGGCACAATGGCATTGTTACTTACTTCGATCACTCCTAAATGAACTATTTAGAAATATTTAAATGTCCAATTTATTTAGCAAGTTATCGGAAAACATTTAATTTGCAATGTTAAGTCTGTGCCTTTACTAATGGGAAACTATTCATACAAGTTACAAATTATTAATTATATCGGTACAGGTATTCTTTGAAAACAACTCTGTCGCTTGAAATCATTCTCTAAACTATTCAGCACACCAACAGTAGGCCTACTTCCTCCTTTCACACGCACATGCACACACTTTTACAATCAGATACTTAAATGCTTGAAGTTTATGCAGATAAGATTTTGTTTGCACATTTCCAGCTAATTTAGCTTGACCAGCTTCCTATAAAAACAGATGAACGAAATGAACGAAAACCTTAGCAAACTTTCTGTTGATCCTCTCTGGTCTCTCATGTTAGGCCTACTGGAAAGAACACGATACAATGGCACACAAAGATATCAACTCAATAGCCTATTAACACTGTCTGCTTCTCAAGTTTCCAGCTCATGGTGTCATCATAGTGTCATTAATTCAATATTGGGACCCCCCACCCAATGAAGCAAACGCTCTACCCTGCAAAGCAGATGTTCAGCTATGGTGAAGTACATTTGTCTTTCTGACAGATATATTTCAACACTTTTCAGAGGTGCTAAATGAGCAATTTACATAATTTTTTATCCTTGCCATTCCCGAAAACAACTCCAAGCCGAATTACCCCCGTGCCCCGTAACTCATCGCTTGAAGAAGTCTCTGGAGAGAGAGACCACCTTTCTGCCTGGTCTCTCATATGATTTCAAATAGACAAGGGTAATTACACCTAATTATTGAAGATGGTTAAGCATGTCACATGCATAACCATCCAAAAATCTATTGGTAGGCCTAACCATTGTGCCCTGTTGAAAATGCCATCCATACCCGCTTCTCATCACTCTCCCACCCATATGTTTATACGCATTTGTAGGACCTTGCCATGTTTTCTTCAATTAATCTCGTGTATTTGATTTAGTTTAGCTCAGGTTGTAACGAATCTGGTCTTTGCAAACATTATAGTATTCAGCTGTTGTCTCAACCCGCATGGGCCAAAGTTTGCTTCAATAAAGTTTGCACCTGAAAGCCGCCCTGTCTTTTGTTATTGGGCCGCGAGGATACCCCACTGTGGCAGTGTCTCGCCTGGGGGAATGGGTAACAGCAGATCACTGCACTCCCGCCTACCTTAGCCTTTCAAAATGAATATCTAGGACAATGCTTGTTAATATCTCTCATTTGAAACGGTGAATTAGAAGTGGGGGTTCCAAAGTCTTTCCATTAAGACCTGAAAATACTGCTAACGGGCCAAAGTAACTTTCACGCAAGTTAGAGGATGTTTGAATGGGAAGATAAGAGTTAACAATGTGGGCATTGAAAATGTGTGGCAGAGCTGTCAACATGCCTACAAGCGCGCCCACCACCGCTCCAGTTACGCAATGTGACGCGCCACAAGATCCACAATTTTCCGAGGGGTTTTAATGGTTATGAACATGATGAGGCAGATCAATTCACTCTCCACGAACTGACTAATGAGTTAACTCAATTTCAATTCACACAAAAAAATTAATAGGCCTATACGAATCTGCTAATATAATAACCTTTTCACAAGTCTTCATCCAGAAGATTTATCCAAACTATGACACAGATTATCAAGGAATGTGATCTAATACAATTTACAATTTTGTCATGGAGCTGTCAATCAGAGTAAAACTGTTCCAAGACAGCTGAAACTATGGTTGCATACTAGTTATGTGTGATATTCCCAATTGCTTTTGCGCATTCCAGAGAGAGAGTTGCCCCCTGCATCTCCATCCAGTTAATCCAGTAGATGCGTCTGCTCTGCTCCATTGCATTTTCCTCTGTACAATTTCCATCACATAACACAACTGTAAACAAATGATTTTGATATGAATTTGTTTTGTCATATAGGCTTACTCTGGTTGTTGCGGCATATCTAATCACCATAAAATATTTCTGGGATGGATCTCCCCAATATCCCACTGGCAAGTGATGAACAAAGGATGAACTACATCAGTCTGCTGTTATCATTCCTTATCAGATGGGCCATTCTTTCAACATGCAATAATGGCGTCTTCTATGAAAACAAACATAATTTAAGAACTTTACACCTCTCCAATATGTCTAACACAGGGTAGCCTAAGTCAAATGTCTAGAAATCCAAAATATAAGAATCATGTCTGACTA